TCTTAACACCTGCCAAGCAGCTTTCCAGCCCCTTAAAGTCCATACAGGCTGTGGCTGCCTGTTATTGTAGTTATTTTTCAAAATTTTATCTTGAGCTGATGTACATAATCTGGTCAAGCCCTCGACTTCAGTCTTTGTAGTTGCAAGACCGTATGCACGACTTCAAAACCCATAATTTTCAGGTTTTCGTTTTACATTCCTGAGCCCATAAAACATTCCATCTTTGATGCCAACTAAGAAATATAGAGTACTTTGCTGAATGCAACTTTCTACTTGTCAAATGTACTGCCAATATTATATAACTCCTGTTCCACGAGACCTCGCCCGTGAACCCGGCTTTTAGAATACGTCGTTGCTTTACCTCTTCTCCACTGTACTGACTTTTATACCACCGAGGCTGTTTATGATATTTTAAGAACCAGAAGAGAAACAAATCAATGACTACTTCAAAGACTAATCTTTACATATCCGGACTCTCCGAATCGGACACTGATGAAACCGTCCGCGCTCTCGTTGAAGACGTTGTTTGTCCAAAATCGTGCAAGGCAATGCTTCTAAACGGGAGATGCAAAGGTATTTTGTATTCAAGTTCTGTGTAGAAACATCTTTACTAATGAGCCTGTGCGTCATCTACAGCCCTCGCTTTTTAGGCAGTTCATTTCAGATGTAAGGACTGCGTTTGCAATTTAGTTTTGCTGCAGTTTTTTGTGCAATAGTCAACAATAACTTTCATCCGCAAGTTTCAATTGAATTGATGGTTTTCGCACATCATCATGAGGGAAAACATATTTTCATTTTAACACAATGTGCATTTTCTGGCGCACGTTTTGTCCAGAGATTTGGTTGCTTTGACCTTATATGCATATCGAGGTAAAGCCACAACGTACGATTTGGAGGAAACACCTGAAAAATTGCGTTTGGACAATGTCAGTCGACCATTGCATAAGCCCACACAAGGGACGTTTAACGCTGTCTTCCGGGGGCCACTTGAGTTCTACTGTATTTATCTGTGCAGGCCATCTAAGACTGCTTTTCCTCATACGAACGTAGGTTTTCAGTTTCTATTCTGGTTCAAGTAATCCTGCCCTGTATCATTGTTTTTTTTTGTTTCAGCTCTTGCTTTGTCCTTAAGAGATCACGAAGAATAATCTTATTATTATTATTTCGTGCGTTTCTGTCTTGGCTGGTGTTTGCATACGGAGCCTGGTCTTTCATACTTGGATAAAGACACACCCTAACCGTCCCTCTAGTCACCAAAGCATGATAGAAATAACTTATATGTGGCCTTCTGTCGCCCAAGTATTAATCGCAGGTTTTTCTTATGCCCCCCCTTCCCCCTCTCCTCCCCGAGACCATCACTGATCTTTATTTAGCACAACAGGCTAATTGCCGTTTCGAA